TGAACTGCTACCATGTCACTTTACATCTGTCGCTGGCTGATAGAAAAACAAAACATCCTTGTTATGAAATAAAAACTATCAGTCCTATCTTTTGCACAGAATAAATTATACAGCCACTATCAGCACAATTGCTTCAGTCATTAGTTTACTATCTTTTTTTAAACAGCGTTTTCAGCTGAAAGGCACAGAATAAAGATTCAAGACATCTGGGCCATGAAGCTAGTGCTGTCATGTGTCATGGGAGTCACAGCCTGGTGCCAAATATCACCATTGCTCTGCAGCTGCTGGTGCTCATGATCACAAATGGCACTAAGTGGTACAATGCTCTGCTGTGTCAGCAGAGATGAAGAGTCAAAGGAATTAATTCTTCTCATTAATTATAGTGGCTTATTCCTCTTCCAGAGACTTGTACTTTTATGCCTGCTAAGAAATAGTCCAGAATACCTCAGGACGTACACACACCCACAGATAATAACAGAAAAGACTCACCTAACTTCTTGAGAATACGTGATTTTTCTGGGCTTAGTGTCCAAACCTTCTCCTAAAAGGAGATCCAATTAGAAAGCCTTACTCACAATCCCCAGAAGACCTGCATTTCCCTGGAAGAGCAATAGCCCTCAGACCAAACACAGAAAATTAAAGCTGTAATCTTTTAAACCCTCACAAGCTTAACAAAAGTACAAGATCTCTAACTTTTTTCTTATGTCAGCTCTACTAACCCCAGCAAATTTTGGTTCATCTGTTACCATGAGATTGAAAGGCAAAGACCAGTTTATAGCAATGAGAACTGCAAAGAGCTAAACATTCCATTCACAATTTTGATCTAAAGCAACAAACACACTTACTGAGTCTGAATCACTGAGGCAAAAGGAAATGACAGTTAAAAAGGCAACAAAGGTGCACACACAAAAAGAACACCATAATACAGCAGAATAATACAATTTGCAGGAGAAAAATGCATCTGCTGAAAGTTATGTTCCTGCATAGGCTTGGCCTGTTTGCAGCAGGATAGAGTTGATACAGATAAGTGATCACAAATTTTCTGGATTCAACAGGACCTCTATATTTTCTGGATTTAACAGGACCTCTAGAAGCTTGAGCCACAATCACGAAAGGACTAACATTGTAAAACTGAAGTATTCACCATGATACTTATGACTTAAACAGTTTGGTTGGTGTTCAGGGATAGGAAAGGGGTGATCCTTCTGGATTTCCAGAAAGCCAGAAAAACCATCAACTCTGATTGAGACACTGCAACGCTGGCTAAGCTGCAGGCTTGAACTTCAAGAGTCAGTCCAAAGAGTGAGAAAAAGGTTGTCTTCCAACACATTAATGCTGGACCCCATACCAGTTTGAAAACTGTAAAGCACATTGCCTATCTTGGCTGGACTGTCCTACCACACTCACCATACCATCTGGATCTTCCAACTGTGTGCGTCAATGAAGAATGGATTGCAGGGGCAACATTTTCCCAGCAATGATGTCAACATAGCAGCTGTAAAAGCACAGGTTGTCTCTGCTGGTGCAGACTTGCACAAGCACAGCACACACACTCTTGTTCTTTACTGGGAAAAATGCATAGCTAATAGTGGTGACTATGTTGAAAGATAGTGTTTTGTAGCTGACAATTTGCTCTATCAAATAGTGTCATTGCACTCCCTGTATTTGTTGTGGTGTCTATGGAAATAAGTAGGAGGCACTACTTTTGGAGTATCGACAAACAGGCACACAATCTTGCCAGCTTCTTAGTGAAAACATCAAATTTAAGTCTTTCACAGTCTCATAGCAATGGTTAACTGCTGCTGAACTAAGTCCAGGCTGATCTCAGGTGGAAGCACTCCTGTAGAGACTTGACAGATCCAGAGTGTGGGAACTAGGCTAAACAGCTGACTCTGCAAGATGCACTAAATATAGAGTATGAGTGGAACTGTTCAGGGCACATGAAAATTGTTGTGAAGATTCTCCATGGGAACAAAAACTTCCTTTCTCGAAAAGATGGAGGAGTGTTTTCTGGCCTTCAGAATACATGGCTTCCTCAGCAACAAGAAAACATGTCAAAGCAACATAAGAAACTATTAATGGAATCTCAGAGGACAATTATGCTTTCATTTGATCTTTCACCAAAAATATTTTTAAAGGGTGGAGAGTATGGTATATTTGTAAAGCTTCTGTAGATTAAACAGCTTTCAATAACAATCCTGTATAGAACTGCAAAAATTTGTTTAAGATTTAACACATGGTAACATCAAAACAAACAAATGTTACCATGGAGACAACTACCTAAATAAATGCTCATAATGGATCCAAGCCCTGATGTCACCCAGGCCTGCCTGCAACCATAGCAACATGTCAGTATAAACAGAAATATTTTGATTTTTCTGTCTAATAATATCATAGAATTAACAGTTTTATGGCAGTGCTTAAAGCATTCTCTTGTAGTACTGAGTGATAACACTTCTAAAATAACAGCAGAGGCATTTATGTCGTGGCTATTACCATATTAACTACATACAACAAATGAAGTATGTGTATGGCATAGCTAACATACCACATTCCTGAGTGCAGTTGTTGACCTCAACAAAGAAATTTAAGTTCCTAGAATAACATGCCAGACTGCCGGTCAGAGATCAGTAACACCTATTATTAGATATTCTGCTTTCCTTAATACAAAAAACCCTCAAGTTCTTAGACTGTTGTGTTGTGCCTCTCAGTCCTGCAGGATTAACAAGAATGCAGACGCATTTTTCATACTAAATGCAGAACATTTATGTGCCCTTTTCCTGTGTCACCAATGAGATTGCTTTCTCTAAGGCAGTAAGATTCACTCAACCCATCTTGCAAGCACACTAAAAGAAGCATGACCAATAAACTTTTGCAACTCTGGAAGAGTTGCATAAAAGAAACAAGTCAGTTAATATACAAAAATTCCAAGAAAACAGGCAGTTGTTTCAGCTACTGAAAGGATAACCATGGAATTCCCTCTCCCATGATAACCATTTATTTCTAAATACTGCTGCATATCCACAAGTTGCATGCCACTAAGTTCAGTATACCCAAAATGCATTACCACTCTTAACATGTCAAATACAAAGGACAGATGTCAATATACAATAATAAGTATTGGAAGTGGAAAAAAATTATTGGAGTAAGCTAAAACTAAGATATCTATATTAATCTCCACACTTTACCAGAAAGCCTGAGCTGAAGTTATAAAAAAGTGAAATAATATTTCTGGTCCTGTCATTAATACTTCAAAACCCAGTAATTTGTAAAATGTTTTCTTCTCATAGAATATAATTGTAACTTAACTTGCTTTCAAGTATAACAGTTAAGCTAAAATATTAAAGTAAATAAATAAAGCATCTGTAGCAGAACAATAAATCAATCCTGAGAAAGTTAGCAAGATGGCAAACAGGGACCTCATACACAGAGATGGTACTTACTTTCCAGTATTCTGACAAAGCTTGCCATTGTCATTCACTACAGGCATTGCTGGCTAGAAAACAAACTCTGCTAAATGCACTCATTTCCCAGTCAAAGACCTGACAGAAAATTTGTTTGGCCAGACACAACTGTAATCTTATGCAACAAAACTTTTCTTCTAGTATTATGGACTGTGTTCCCTGGCCAACTTCCAGTAGCCACCAACACCATCCATCTCTATGGATGGCTATCAGAATCACAGGTCAAAGTCTGTCTTTGCGAGATAAGAGCAAAGCTGGTGAACATAAAAGCAGCAGGGTTTAGATACCCAAAAACTTAACTCTTTCATTTGGCATGAGAAAAGTACACTGCAGTTTCTGAGGTGCTGGAAACTCTTTTACAGTGTTTAATGTTTTCCATTCAACAAGGACACTAAAAAAAATAAAACAAAACATGAATTGTCAAACAAAAACAACACAAAAACCACCCTTGTGCTCTGTTTGGAAATATTTCATTGTAAGATAAGCAAGGAGCTTATATACTGAGTAGGCCTTTCTTGATGCACTCCAAATTTATCGTTAACCTTTAGCTTAGGGTTAAATCTGAAACAAAAGAGAAAGAAAGGAAAAGTAGTTGTAAAATACATTATATATATGCAAATAAGAAAAGAGTAAGTAATAAACAATTAAGGTAACTGCAACAAATGCAAAAGTATTTCAACTGCTAAATAAAGGAGGGAGAGGGGAAAGATAGCATATCTCTTCTGAAAATGTCCACTCAACAGCAGCCTGAGAAAATGCTGAACAGGCTCACTCCACAGAAGCAGACAAGAAACCCTGAGCTAAGCAGAGACTGCTGATCAATAGCAGTGTGATGCACTGACGCCCTTCTTCAGCCCTAAGTCCCTGCCACCTCACAACTGAATCCTGCATAATAGAACTGGATTCATTTTTCCCCTAGCAGGCATCACAACAGATACTTCTTTAAATCAGCTAATTATCACAGAGTCACCCTATCATTAACTTGCCCAGACACCAATATGAGAAAGTAGTATCAAGATTTTATTATTTCCTGTAATGAAAGAGAATTAAAGTTGATAAAAGCTAAAAAACAGTTTGGTGTGACCAGTACCCTGCACTTTAAATACAAGCAGCTGTGTTTTGCTGGACATAAAGACTATGCATGGAAAAAGGCCTTAGTATATAACCCACCTTAGCCTCAGTTCTTTGAGGCTGAATTTTGTCAAGATTTAAGACTACATCCTGACTTCATTCAGATATTATTCAGGAAACATTCACAACACTTACTGTAGTTTAAAAAAGAAGTTTGTTAGGACATAATCAAGACAGATACAGGTTATTCCATCTCTGCACCACATTACTCTTCAACACCTGCTATGCTGAAGTCAGTTTAACGTAGCAGGCAGAACCTGAATGCAGCAGCTTCACTGAGGAGCATTTAAAGAGACTGTGACAAAGGCATAGTGACTAGTGACAAGTCCTTGAGGAATCAAATTTAGATGGTTATCCACAAAACATACTGGAGAGACAAAGAAACAATAGCAGAAAGGAACTTACTTGATTTTACTGAAGACAATGTCAACATCTGTGATTGTCACATTCTTCCCATCTATCACCTGACAGTCCTTACACAGCTTAGACCAGTTCTTCCCATGCATTTCTTTTCCTGTGGCTCTTGTATCACCATGGATAGCAAATTTTCTAAAGGCCTCTTCCAGAGCACTTATTTCTCCTGCCACAGCTCCCTCATGGGAGCTATTTGAATCACAGGATAATCGTTTTGCAGCTCGGTCCTTAGTTGGATCTGAAGGAGACCTTGGAGGAGTCTTATTTGCAGGTTTGGTCGGCTTTGCTTTATTGTCAGCCATTGTGCTACGAGGAAGAGGAAGATAAACTTTGTTACCTTAATTTGCAATAGAGTTTACTCTCTGTTAAACTACAGGCTACTGTCTGACGTGTCATAACACAGGAGTAAGTGACCCATGAAGATCCTAAGAACTCAGTGCCCTTCACCGAACAACTTAAGCAGGAAAATGACACTCCAAAACAGGGCACAAACCTAGTTTCACCATCTTTACAGCAGACAACAGGAGAACACTTACTCTTTGCTTCTTTTTTTAATGACAACTTGAATTTTAATGACAACGTGAATTCATCACAGTTGTTCTACTGACTTGAGTGTCTTCTACATTATAGGCATTACTACCCTTTTTTTTTTTTAATATAAAAAATAAAAAGTCCTTTATATATTTTATATATAAAATATGAAAGTGCTTTATACTCTAGTCTTTGGATTTTTCCCCTCCCCCCCCTTTTTTTTTTTAATAATTGAAAAATGCAAAAATATTCATGCTTTAAAGAGATAACAACTAAGGAAGCCTCAGAAATACTTGGAAAAAACTCTCCGGTTATTTCTCAAGTTCTTGCTCAGAGAATTATAGCCATAAAATTCCTTTAGAATTAACATGTCCAGAATGCAGGAGCACTGAGAAGGGACGTGCCTTCTGTCCATCCACTATTTGCTTGGGAAAAACCCTGAGAAGCCTATGGACAGGGTGCACCCTGTGCCTGTCCCAGTAACTACATCTGCTCACACACAGATCTGTGGTGCTGCTAGAAATTTTAATCCATAAAGAAGTGCTTCAAGTATCAGAACTCTGGCAAATACTGGCATAAGAGCTAAAAAGCCCACCATACTTATCCTCTCCATCCTTCTGAAATCACAGCAGTACAAGGTGAAGTGGGTAACATATTCAACGACTGATATGGATTTCTAGTTAACATTTAATTGTTGCATCAGATGGGAAATTTTAGCTTATACACTGTATTTTGATTACAAACTCATCAATAATGGAAACAATTTTAGACTTCTGCCTCTTCCAGTACTGCTTAGCCTCTGTTGCTTGAGCAACCAAGGTTTATTCTTTTCTGCACTTTGCAGAACCAGCCATAAATAGTTACTATGCACCAGTGATTAAGAATGAGGCCAATCAGGCTTCTGAAGGAGAAATCTTCACATTCATAATCTCTAGCTGTAACTTGAAATGGTCAGACCAGACAAAATTCCATGATGAACTCTAGATCATCACACTTCAAGTTAGTCTTACACCTTACACACATAAAAAATAAAGTTCTGTAGCAATAACTCCAATATTCGATCCTGCTCCTTTAGATCTGATTCTCTTTTTTCAGAATATGATAGTGAAATAATTTCCTTGAACAGTCTCTCTTAATTTAATCCCCAGCAAACTCTCATTATGATCTCTCCAATCTGGCAATGGTACATTCTAACTGGACCAGGGAAATTCCAGGGAATTCCATTTTTATCCTGACACCATCAACAACAACCACAAACCCATACTTCAGGAAGTATGATCAACTTATACTGACAAGAAAACTGCTGTGAAAATAGGAGAGACAACAGTCTGATGAGCATTCTGAATTTCTAGAGATGAGACTTTTAAAGCATCATTAGAAACAATTTTTTAAATCAAAACTATACTAAAATGCCTTTGTCCTTCAAAATTGGACAAATGCAGCATGGCCAAAGCTGTACTGCATGTTCTGAATATGGTCAAGTAAATTTTTTAAAAAATCTTGTTATATCTTTGTCCTCTTTTGTTTACACTGTTTGCATAAGAACTGGAACAAATCAAACACCAAATTCAAAAATTAAGATGACTGAAATTTACTAAGTCTAACCTGAGACTTACATGTGTATCTACGAAATAATAAAAAGAAGTTCACTGGCCAAAAATTGAAAATTAGAAGCTCATTAAAAAGTTAAGCGTTTAACCAATTCCCATTTCTACTTCCTTTCTGCCCTACCTGCCCTCCAAAGAACAGTAATTTTACCTTAAACTCTTTCGAAAGTCCCCAGCAGTGAAACAACAATTAATTTACTTACAGTAAAACTTAAGCTAGTACAACCGTTACAGATACCTGTTTTCTCAAAACCATGTCTAGATCAGCCAGTAACGTGCCCTCACAGCCTGGAAAACACCAACCATATCCCTGTGCTGCATCTAGAAAACCATGGCCAGGAGGTCAAGGCCCCTCTACAAATTAAAAGTTTACAAACTTCACGCAGGGAAAAAATGCTACGAGGAAGTTAATGAAAGTATTAGGCCTTAAGGTAGTTTACTTCTACAGTTAGGTCCTTCAGACATCAATAACAGCACTGGTATATTTTGAGGAGTTCTGGGCAACACGAAGAGAGGAACAACAGGACATAAAAAAGGCTTCCATTTTAAATGAAGATGTCTGATATTCACAGTGGTCTCATTTCAAAGAAATCTTCACTAGCAAAAGTAGAAAGTCAAGGCAGATCAAAACTGGTGGTGTACTTTTTCCCTGTGGCTAGAGAAGGTTCATGGATATACTCCTTTTCTTGTTGAACCACAGTTACAGGCTGCTTCATAAACTGCTGAGTGCAATAAAAGAGTTACCTCATTATAATAATGATAATATAATAAAATACCGACTTATCCTCAAATAAAAATTATGTTTCTTAACAATACAAACAAAATACTTGAAAGAGTACGTTTTCATTGATTTACATATTACATTATAAAGTAAAGAATTGCAAAACGCTGAATATGAAATCAGATTTTTATGGGGTCAGATCCTTCAATGGTATTTGGTTATTACTGAAAGGAGTAGATTGTGTTGCACTGAAGAGATGTTCTCTCAAAGACAACTACTGAAAAGTCTGTTCACCAAAAATCCAAAGCAAAACATAGTCTTGATTCTTCCTTACCCCTTTTCCACACGCATACCCTGAAAGCGATCAGAAGGTGCTTGCTAGCTCTAGCACTAGAAATAAAGATTAACAGTAATTTGAAGAAGAAGCACAGCAGAGCTGTAAGTAGGACTGACAAAGAAACTGGATACTCTAAAAATATCAATTCTAAACTCTGGTTAGACAAAATTAAGTTACTTTTTTAAAAGCATGAACTATATAAGAGTTACAGTTAAACAAAGAAACTCTTTTCACTGCTGTTTAAAAAGCCCAGCACACAGTTAAACAATACTACATTTCCAGAGACAAAAAAGGTAGGAAAGGAGGGATTAGCCACCTATCCCATCCCCTCCAAATATTGCTGGCTCCAATCTAGCACACCGTAGAAGACATTAAGGAGAAATTATAAGCAGATGCTAAGAGTTCAGAAGGTTTTGTGAAAAGAAAAAAAAAGTCCCAAAGTTGGGATTCCAGAAACACACAGAACAGCTGGAGTAATTATAGGAACATTAAGAGGGCATGTAGGGATGCAGTGAGGAAGCTAGGGCCCAGTGGAATTGAATCTGGCATGGGAAATCAAGGAAACACGAAAGGCAAGCCTATAATTACAGGTGGGACATCACAGTTCCACTATGTCAATAGCAAAAGGAAAACTATAGAAAATGTGGGCACATTGCTTAATGAGGTGAGTGCTCTGGTTATGGAGGACACTTAAGAAGGCGGACTTACTGAATGCCTTCTTTGCTTCAGTCTTCACTGCTGAGACTGATCCTCATGAGCCCCAGCCCCTGAAGAGAGCCTGAAGAAAGGGAGACTTCCCCTTGGTCAAGGACTATCTAGTAACAGATCGTCTAGGCAAATCTGAGGTGCAGAAATCCATAGGCACTCATGGAATGCACCCGTGAGTACTGACAGAGCTGGTAGAAGCAACTGCCAAGGCACTTTGAAAGGTCATGGAGAATGGGAGAGGCGCCTTGGGACTGGAGTAAAGCCCACGTCATTCCAATCTTCAAATACAGCAAGAAAGAGGAGTTAGGAAAACACAGGAGAGTCACCTCACACACCTCTGCTCCATGGGAAGGTGATGAAACAGCTTATTCTGGATGGTGTCTCCAAGCAAGTGGAAGAAAAGAAAAATATCCCAACTCCTACAGTTCTGTAATTCACCGAATGACAAGTAGTTAAGATGACAACAAAAGTCCTATGAACTGAGGAAAACTTTCAGTTCAGCCAGCCAAGAAAAACCGGATTCTGCTATGACCTCAGAAAGGTCATAGCTTTTCTAGTATCTTTGATCATGTCAAACATTCTAGTGAACACTCAAGGAAACAGCAGCCCCAAGTTTACTGGTTTGTTGAGAACTAGAAAATAAAATTGGGACTGAAAAAAAAAAAAAAAAAAAAAAAAAAAAAAGAGATGTGCTGGATAGATTCTTTGCAATTCAGTCAGCAAAGTCAGCAAATTGAACTAAGTACAGAACTACAAAAGAAAAATTAGAAATACTTAAGGATTGCTAATAAGCAGGAGGGGGATTGAATTGTTACACAGGTAGACAGTGATAAGGCAAAGGTGAGATGAAAGAAGGATAACGTGCCCTTGAGAAATAAGAAAAATAACAGGTTAAACAAACATCTTTCAGGCATATGGCAGGAGATGCTAGCTTAGCACAGGATGCAAATCTATTTTGCTGGTAAGAATAATGTGCGATAGACCTTGCAGGACACAAGGAAAGTTCTAGATGGGCAAAACAACAAACTCTGCACCCAGATTACAATGTCTAAATAAAGAAAAAAGCACTGGGAGCACTGTTTATAAAATGAAGTGGCTCCAAGCCCTAAGCATGACTAGGTTGGAACTGCTGCAGGATGGCAAAACCATGATCCCTCTGTGGTCCAGGATTCCTCCACCATCATCTTCTTCCTCCAAGAACTGAGTGAGTGACTCATGTTCTTTTAGTTAAACCTGAGTCTAGTTTATAATTCTATCACGAGCTGATTGGTCAAAATTCGGCCCAATTTGCAGAGGGTCTATCTGGGTGGCTGAAAACTCAGAAGTCTAGAAATTCTGAACAACTACAAGATATGCTAGGTGCCAGAAATTGTACTTAGTATGCTATGCTATTGATTTCTTT